GATTTTATCCAAAAGCAAACAAACAGAGATTTTGTGTTCTTTAGATCATCATCCTCCCTTCAATCTCTGCCTAGGCAAGAGAAGGGGCAACAATTTGGTATCATAGTGCAAAAGCAATTTACAATTTGAAAACAAATATGAGTGAAACGAATGCATTTCTTCAAGACAAACATACTCATTGTATTAAGATAATCATTCAGATGCAAACAAGTTCTTACATGCAAACAATGTTTTGATAAACAAGAAAAATTACAAAAAGCATGAATAAGTTAATAATCTAGGAAGGCTTTCCATCTGGACTTGAATTACCGAAAACATCCTTCAAAACTCAAAGTGACCATCAATCATGTTTACTCTTCGGCACATGCTTGATTTGAACTTCAAAACCAACGTCCTTGAATGACAAGATACCACTTCTGACCAACTTCTGAACCTTAATATTCAAAGCAAAGCAACCCTCCACATCATGCCCAGGAGCACCTTGATGAAAAGTACAAGTCAAATCAGCTTTGTAGTACCAATGTATCTTCTTAGGAACCTTCGGTGGAGGTCGGGCCTGAACCAAATTCCTCTGCATCAGGATAGGGAACGACTCTGTATAAGTAATTGGAATTGGATCAAACTGGGTTTTCCTCTGATTAAGAACTTGCTGATTCTGTTGATGAATAGGAGAAACATGATGATTATGACAATGATTATTTCTTCCTCTGGTTCTCTTCTTGGAAAAGTTATTATCAAACTTCTTCACACCATTAGTTGAGCTACCATCTTCATATGAACATCCCTTCCCAACATCTTCTTCTAGACGCACTCCCACATTCACCTTGTCAGGAAAGTCATTGGGTGCACTAACCATCACCTTCTCATGAGAGAATGATTTTAGAGTTTCAGTGAAGACTTTTATCATCACTTCCTCCCTCCTAGAATGATTGACTTGGGCGGCAACCAAAATTTCAACCCAAAACAGTCGAGTGATCCATACCAGCTTTCAAAATAGTCATCTCTTTGCGGAGTTCAGAAACCTCTTGCTTGATATTCTCCATTGTCCTCTTAGCGCGAGTGTTGTACTAGTGAGACCAAAGGAAAAATAAGACTTGGAAAAGGACCTTTGAAAGTGAAATAAAAAAATGTAGAATGATACATGATATGCAAAAGAGAGTTTTTATTTGATTTTCAAGGAACTCAAGATACTAAGTTGTAAACATCAAAGTATGAAGACAAAAGATGAATTTTAAATTGGCTCCAAACATTGATCAAGTTATCATCAAGATCAATCATCCATTTTGGTGGATTAGGGTTTTCGCCCTATCAACACCCAAGATCCATTGAGTTTGACGAAACTTGTGATGTTTACAAAGAAAGACCTCCAAATTCCTTCAAAGTCAAGTGAAAAGGGTTTTATGGATGCATGAATGCATGGCTATGCAACAACCACAAGCAAGGTCACAAATAAAGTCGAAAGGTTCAACGTCACGAGCATGGAGTCAAGGTAAGGAACACCTCCAAGGTATGTACTAACGGTTTAATCACACTTGTAGAACAAGGTTCTAAGAGTTCCCGGAGTCTACATTCCTCCTTCGGATATTACCAACGTCTTGATTACTCAATAATCAGCAATATTCTCAAGAGAAACTCATCCGAGCGTAGCATCGCGTAACAATTACTTCCGGATTACTCTGTTATAATCTCCGCGCTACACCTAAAAGGCCAAGATGGGTTAGGGTTCTACGGTTCCCAGCTTCTCTGGCTCCCAGGTCGAAAATAATAATGTCTTCCCGATTACTCGGTAAAAAAATATTACGTTCAAAAGGGCCTTCCACTGAGTGGGGGATCTCATGCCTCCTTCTTCGGGATTACTCCCTCAAAGTTAACATGACTATACCGCCCGTCCTAATCCTAAGTGTAACTTAGTCCGGGTATAGGACTTGTCCTTTGTAAGTATCACCAACACCCAAATAATCACAATATATACATGTAATTAAACAATCAAATAATAATAACAGATAAAACAAATTAGGCTTAACCCACTTAGGGATGGACCAGCAAAAGGTCAATCTCTCCCCAGCAGAGTCGCCAATTCTGTAGCGGTGAAAATCGGAGATCAAGCTATTAATTAACTTGACTCACAAAAGCAAGAGTCGCCACCGCGCTTTATTGTTTCCAAGGGAAAAGGGAAAAGAGCGAAATAAAACCCTAAAATATGCAATGTAAAATAATACTTAAAAGTAATAAAAATACAATGCGTTTTTGGAAGAGATCGAGAGTTCGGGAGTTGGTTATACAATGGGAAGGTATTAGCACCCAATGCATCTGCGGTACTCTGCAAGAACCTTTTGAAATATCTGTTTTTTTGTTAAAATTGTTCGTTTGATTAAAATGGTTCGTTTGGCTAAAAATCGGTGTTGGAGAGATTTTGAAGATACGACGACCTAGTGTCGAAGTTTTGACTTAAAAGGTGTGAGTTTGAAATTTGAATCTTTTAGGAAAATCGACTTAAGTTTGGAGAAAATAGTAAATAAGAAAAAAATGAATGGGGGTATTCGCTTGATCCTGTTAGATGTTTAATGACATGAAGTCAACAAATTAATACTTTCCCTTGGAATAAATCGAGCGAGCAAAATAAAATAGACATCAAAAGATAAGCAATCAAAATTCATAAGAAAATAAATATAACGAAATAGATTAATGACCTAAAGGCATCGAGAAATTAAAATGACAAAGATATTTGAATAAAATAAAAGGGGATGTAACTAATTATCTAAAGAAGTTATTTAAACTAAATTAAAAATTTAAGATTACTTACTAAAAAAATTCTAAACTAACTACAAATTCTAAGGTTGCAAAAATAGTTCTAAAATTACTAAATTAGATCTAAGCTAAATTAAAAATTTTAAAATTAGTAAATTAAATCTAAACTAAATAAAAATTCCAAGGTTGCTAATCTAAAACAAAAAAAAAATTCCAAAGTTACTAAACTAAATCTAAATCAAATAAAATTCTAAAAGAATATTAAACTAATTCTAAACAACTAAAATTCTAAACTTATTAAACTAATTCTAAATCAAATAAAAATTATAAACTCATTAAACTAATTCTAAATCAAGTAAAATTCTAAAGTCCCTAAACTAAAACTAACAACTAAAATTCTAAAGTTAACTTAAATAAAATCAAATAAAATTCTAAAGTTTACTAAATTAAAACTAAACAAATAAAATTCTAAAATTTACTAAGTCAAATCTAAATGAAATAAAATCCTAAAGTTACTAAAAATAAAACTAAACAAAATAAAATTCTAAAGTTTACTAAGTCAAAACTAAAACAAATAAAATTCTAAAATTTACTAAGTCAAATCTAAATGAAATAAAATCCTAAAGTTACTAAAATAAAACTAAACAAAATAAAATTCTAAAGTTTACTAAGTCAAAACTAAAACAAATAAAATTCTAAAATTTACTAAGTCAAATCTAAATGAAATAAAATTCTAAAGTTACTAGAATGAAAATAAAACAAATAAAATTCTAAAGTTACTAATTATGATTCTAAATATTTTAAAATTATAAAATAAATCTAAACTAATTAAAAAAATTCTAAATTAATACTAAACTAAATCTAAATATAAGATTTACTAATATATTTTTGTGTGGTTTTAGTTAATGAAATAAAAAGAAATTACTTTTAGTATATATTTTTTAATAACAACCTAAATTAACTTTAATAGAAAAAACTAATAATTAAATTAAGAAAAATAAAATAAAAAATCTAAAGAGGGTGTCAATGGAAAGATGCAAAGGTATGAACATATATAAAACTCTTAAAAACACCCAATACTCAAACATGAAAAAAAAAGTATTTAAATTAAATAATATTAATAATTATAATAAATTATAAAAAAGACAAAAAGGTACAAAAAATGCTGTTACGTGGGCGAGGCGTCCCTTTTACATACTGATTTTTAAAAAAGAAAACTACACTATAAATTTTGACCTTTTCCATGATTATGAAAAGCCAATACAAAATAGACACATGGCAAATTGACCATTAAAATAAAAACAAATAAACTTCAATAAATATGAGAGAAAAGTAATGTCAGCAAAACAAACCAACAACTTCATCTTTCTCGTGAATTCTTTCTCTCAAACAAACAAATACAACTAACACCTCAAACATTCACATCACAATCTTTCCCTTTTCCATCTTATTCACCACAAAAAAAACACACAAACAAAAACAAAAGAAGCAAAGTGTGAATGAAAAGAGGTTACCAATGGCAGATCTGGCGATGTAAGGAGCTGTGGTGTTCATGCGGTTGGGACGAGAGAGGGTTTAACGCGGATCTGAGAAAGTGATTCGGCGGATCTGAGAAAGTGGCTCGACGGTTGCTTTCAGACGTTGAGTAGAGCGTTGGCTGGTTGTTCATGGTGTCGTGCAGCGAGATCGGCCGGTGTTGCAATCGCGATGTGAGGAAGGCCGAAGCTGGTTGAACGGCAAGGCGGTCTGTAAGTGTGAAGTCTGTGGAGATAGGGTGCGGCTGGAGCTTCAGTTGTCCGCGTCGTAGCTTCGAGGTGTTGTCGTCGAAGGTGATGAAGTCGCCGGCGAGAATGGATCATAGAGAGATGGTCGATGTTGTGCGGATGACTTTGTTTTGTTCTTTTCATATTTCTGCAAAAAAAAGAAAATAAACCTCTGTACCAATTTGTTAGCATCAAGTATTATGTTGTGTTGTTGTGATTCAAGCTTGCAAGAGGAGCGTGGTACTCAGGTTTTGGGATAGAAGTTGGATGAACATGAAGTTAGTTTAGATTAAAGTGATGTTGGTTTGAATAGTAAGCTGCCATCATAGGCTGCCTCTGCATCAGGTGCTGCTGCATTTCACCTTATACTTCTCAACCAGTAAGTAACCATATAGAATATAGAAGATTGTTAATATTTTTATTATATCAATACTGTGATGATGGTTCTCTATCTGAGAAGAATAAAAACAAAGTTGAACAAGTTCAGATTCAGAGCAGAGAACACAGAAGGTAGGAAAGAAGGAAACACCAGGGTGCAAGTGTATGTAAAGAGAAAGAATCAAAGAACAAAAGCCTTTTGGGTTCACTTTCTCTTGTTGCTATTGAAAATGATGCTACTACACATGAGAAGAAGATATTTGAAAGAGTGTGACTAGCGAGAGAAAGAGAGATTTGAGATGCTGTTTTGGGAATGGAGAGAAAGATAAGTGGTTTTCTCTGTTTGTTGTTTTTGTTTTTTCTCTTGAGATTTTCTATGTTGTTGGTATATCTCTTCCCCCTTTTTTTGTTAACCAAGTCTAAATCTATATAGAGAACATAATGAAATTTTGGGGGGGAAAATGAGATGGATTTGGATTCTTTGTGATGCATTGTTTTAACACCTTTTTGCTGTAGATTTGTATTGCCATTTTAATGTAATTCGAACTGCTTTTGGACAAATTTTGGAGTGTTGTGGGTAGCAGTAGCAGCTGGCTTTTTAACATATTTTTAAACTATTTTGCAGGACTGATATGCTTGGAGCATTATGCAAGTTTTGTTGTGTAGCATGTTTGGGTTTTATGGACAGTTAGGATAGGGACAATAGCAAGGTTTTAGACTGATTTTATTGTTTGGACATTTTTTACAAGGAGAGGAATAGCATAATAATAATAATAACAATAATAATAAAAAAAATAAAAATAAAAAATATTAAACTAAAAATTTCCAAAACATGAAAATTAAAGAGAAATTAAAATTAATTTTAATTTTAATAATAACTCAACTAAAAAGTTGAATTAAAATTAGAACCAAATCAAGATTAATATTGAAAGAAAGAAATGAAAATTATAATAACTAAAAGAATTAAAAGGAAAAGATATTAACTATATATTTTTTGTGATTAAAGTGAAATGCTAAAAATAAAATAATGCTAAGACATGTTTTTTTGTTGAGATTTTTACTAAATTAAATCTAGAAGACTATAATTTTGACTTAAGAATAAAAATCTAAATGAAACTTGAAGAGACTACTTTTTTTTTTGATATTTTGAATAATAATGTAAATAAAATTAAGATGACATGAACTAAATATTTTTTTAGGATTTTTTTCATGGAATTAAAAATAAAAGAAGAGAAAGTGTAAAATTTATGGTCGGATAAAACACAGTCCAAAATTAAGAATCAAATTCCATTAAATTCGTGAAACAACTTCTAACGTTAATAACTTTTTTGTGGCTTTTCAATGCATAATCATCTCTTGTCTTGTAAAGAAAAATTGTAGATGAGGTCAAGAAAAATCATATGCAAAAAATAACCCCTCAAAATATTGAAATTTGAAGAAGTTATGAATTTTTGAAATCTGACTCGGGAATTGGCAAAAATAGGTCGAATTGCTTGTGAACTCTTGCCATGCAATGATGCGGATGGAATGCGGGATCTTAGGTCAAAAATTAGGGTATGACATAAGCCCATTCCCGACATCACATTGCTGATACTCTACTATGTGAGTGCAAATTTCTGGGCACTCTAGTGTTCAATCATCTTCCACCTTCGGATCACGAAAGGCGCGCAAGCCAATCTACATCCTCAGGTCTAAGAAGATTGAACAGGGGCAACTGTTGTACCCCAAAATTTGCCCTCCCATATTCTTCAAAGTTTTGGCAAGCATCATCTCAATTTGCTCAAATCTACTCAAGGGTTGCACAGTCAAACATCCTCCTAAGCCAGTCAAAATTAGGGTTTTGTTTCTTGCAAGGAAGTTGAGGTTTTCAAGGGCTCAATCAAGTCACATATTCCTATACACATTGTCAAGCATCTACATGCCAAATTTCAAGGCTCACAAGGTCAAGTTGCACAGTCAAAAACCCTAATTGCTTCACAATCAACTGCAGGGGCAAAATGGTCATTTGGCAGTCAAAAGTCAAAATTTTTGGTCAACATCTTATTTTGAAGCCACAATCATCATTTGATCAAGTCTTGATCATGATTCCACAAGCATGGCTCAAAAATCATCAAGATGCAAAAGTTTCCATTTTTGGACAGTTGAAAAGTCAACTGTAACTTGACCAAGGCATAACTTTTTCATGGTTCATCAGAAAAATCCCATCCAATTCTAATTTTGAAGGGGAGGACATTTCCTACAACTCATCTTCACATTCCAAGTCCAAGAAATGCTCTCACAAAAAGTTATCAATTTCAACATTATAGGTCATTTTCAAAAGTCAACAAAAAGGCATTTTAAGTCAAAGACCATAACTTGAGATTGGTAAATTAAAATGACATGGGACCAAAGGCATTGGTTAGAGGACTTCAAGAACTTTCCAAAATGTCGAAGAACATGTTCATATGATCAAAATTGAGCAAGATATGCATTGGAGAAGTTGGGAAAATTTTGTGAAATGGCAAAAGTCAACTATCCTTGAAACTTCAATTTTTGACAAAAGGGCCCACTTTCTTCCACTTGATTCAACTTTGTTATGCCACCCACGTGTCCCATGATCAATTCCAAGACCAAATAATTATTTTCTATTTTATTTAATTTTTATTGATTTAATTAATTTTAAATCCATAAATATTCAAATAAAATCAAAAAATTAATTAAATGGCATCTTTGAGGTTTGAATGGCTTTCATGTGTCATATTCCACCTACCAAATTCGTGTCAAGCTCAATTATGCATAAAATTCAAAATTTGAACAAACTTGGAAAGTCCTTTAATGGTGGTTATGAAGAATCTCAAAACATCAATACAAGGGATCATTGGCTCAGCTGCTGACCTAAAGGCATTCCCATACATATGCTGAACACAACCCTAATACATTTCACGCACAAGCTGCTGCAGAAACACCCTAACCATATTCAAAAAATCAAGCAAAAAAGTCAAAACTGAAATCAACCTTCCAGCATAATTCAAAGCCTTAGAGTGACTCAAACACCTTACTGACATTCCCAGGAACGGATTGGAATCATAAACAAGCTCCAACACTCAAAGAATCGCCCACCAAAGCCCTACGGTTTGTCAAACTTGTTCAGAATCGAAACTCAAAATATATGCATCATTCATATGATTTTTTGTTGTTTTTGTGTTGCTAGAATCCACAGGAATCTTTTGGCATAAGTCAATTGCATCGAAACACCTAGAATCAGAAATCACCATTGACAAATGTTAGGGTTCTTCAATTTCCAAATTGGGGCTTTCCCATATAAGAAAAATTAAGCCTCATGATGCATATGGTTAAATTCGTCAGGATGAGACGAACACATTGATACCCTCGCGCCCTTTTTATATGTGCTACACGTCTAATCGCTATTATTGGCATTTGCAGTTTGTGGGGGTTAAAACCCCCCGCTATTTGATTGTTTTTCTGCAGATAAATGAAGAAGATGAAGGATGTGGACGCATATGGTTGGAGCATTCAAATAATTATGCGCGCGTTTTGCTTTCCAACATAGGCATTGGTTTTCACATATTATAATTAATTGTTATTATTATATCAAATGCAATGCAGTGGCTGTTGGCTCCTAAATTCGACACCCTTGTTTTTATTAATATAAGCCATTAAAGCTGAAGAATGGTTTCGACCAGCTGGTTCTGTCGAAATGCTCATCAGAAGATGGCAATGTACTTAGAGAACTTCTTCCAAGGAAGAATCTTGTTGCCTTCGACGTCGAAGGTGCTTCTCGACGAAGGTGTTCGATTGCTCAGAGTGGAACGGTTTGAGATTCAAACGTTTGGATGGAAAACGGTTCCCAGCGGTTACCAAGTGCAACGTGCCAAGATCTGGAGCGTCGAACGCTGTGAACGTGCCAAGTGGAGTCATCTCGAAGCAGCGTAACTGCCCGACGGTTACTTGGGATGTGTTTAGTATAAATATTAGTAGTTCACGCAGTTTTTCGCGTGTGTTCACAATTATATACAAGTCACTCATATAGATTCAAGTACCCAGTGTGAGCGAAAGAATTGTTGAGAATGTATGTGTGAAACACCACTTTAATTAATCAAAGTCATTTATTTTCCAGAACTTTATTGCTCTTCATTTACTTTTCCAGTCGAAGCCTTTATTTCAAGCCTTCTTTTATTCTACCAAGTTTTCTTCTTCATGCAATTTACATAAAGCTTCTTTATTTTCTTGCCATTTAACCATTATTAAACTTAGTCAAAACCCCAAAATCAACCATGTCTTAGGATCAATCTGATCGATCCTGCGAGTCACCAAATAAGTAACCTTTTGGAAGATCAGCGGTTGTTTACCAATTCCCACGGTAAACAAATTGGCACACCCGGTGGGACCTTGTGTTGATTTTGAAGTTTAACCTTTTTTTATACAGAATATCATCTTTTTTGAGAAGTATTGCATGTTATTGAGAAGTGGTAGAATATACACTAACAATACCAATACTGCCAGAAGAAGAGAAGCGATGGCGAATCCGCCAAGTAATAACAAAATCCCACAAACGAATGTGGGAACAACAGTTATCCCAACCGTAAGTGAAGCGATAACCGCTGGTTCAACACCAGCAGTAACGGTCACAACGACGGGGCCATTACCTCCGTTCACTGGCCCCAGAGTGCCTTTAGGAACTCCCCCACCAAGGGGAAATCCAGGAACAAGGCCTTATGTTCCCCCAGGATTTATGACAGGCGGTCAAAATCGAGAACCACTCTATGGCATGCCAACTTCTGAATTGGCTAGCCTGACGAACGCTGCGTCCACTTTTTCAGACCCTTTAGTGAGTGCCTCTTCGCCACTCCAAGGTTCTGGAGTAGGTATGGCGAACAGAAATAGGACCCAACTCTTAGGAGGAACGTCCCAAGTAGCGCATGGACTTACAAATGCCTCGACAACATTCTTGAGGCAACAAATGGACGAAAGCAACCATGATATGGTTCAAATGTTGGCACAAACTTTAAGTACAGTGCTGAATCCTCTAATACAAAACACCACCCAGTCGAATCAGCAGATGACAGCGCAAATGACACGTATGGCTGACTTCTTTGGGGTACCCCAACCTATTCGACAGCCCCAAAGGGCGCAAATAAGGGGAAACCAAGGTATACTCTTAGAGGAAGAAACCACTATCAACCAAGTCCAGCAGCCTGTTGTTGGCTCCTAAATTCGACACCTTTGTTTTGTTGATGTCAGCCATTAAAGCTGAAGGATGTTTTCGACTGGCTAAGTCTGTCGAAATGCCCGTCGAAAGATGGCAAAGTACTTAGAAGATTTCTTCCAAGGAAGAAGGCTGGTTGCCTTCGACGTCGAAGGAGTTACTCGTCGAAGATGTCTCTCGACGAAAGTGTTCGATGGTTCAGGGTGGAGCAGTTTGAAATTCAAGCTGTTGGAGGGAAAACGGTTTCCAGCAGTTACCACGTGCAAACGTGCAAGGATCTGGAGCG